GGTACGGCCGATCATGAGGTTGTTGGGTCGAATGGAGCAGCTGTTTGGTGTTAAAGTGGAGTTGCAAGAATCCTCGAAAGACCCTGAGAGGCTCATGGCTAGAGCTTCTCTGTAAATCGATCACGCGATCGATTTGGATGCGATGGGTTGGGTTTAGGTCGTCAAACGGGAGGCGTAGTTCAACGAGTTCGTCTGTGGGGGGTAAGCGAGCCTCTACTCATCGGACTCGAGATCCGGGCCGGCTCTTGCGAGAGGAGAAGATGAGGAATATGGTCGTCAAGGTGGGTTGAGGCTTGATGGGCATCTTGTACCGCTCTGGTGATGGAATTGGTATTTGCTCAACAGTTGGTAAATTATGGGTGTTGGTGGTAATATGGAAATTCAGGCAGGTTTGAGAAGGTTTTGTTGGTTTTCGTATTCTTGGATCTGAGTTTGTGAATCAACTTGTATAATCAACTCTGGAAACTCCTTAGCTCAACTGAGGAAAGCGAGCATATATTCCTCCAACACTGGTGAAGGATTGTTTAGGAAAGGGAAGTATTGTTTGTGTAGGAGCTACCGATGGTCCAACAGAAGTTGCGTAACAGGCTGCGGGATTTTGAGGAGACGTTTGAGATCCCCCTATTGATGAACGGCTCTACATCAGCGGAGTTGGAGCGGGTAAGTATGATTTGTCGTAATCGGTAGTATGTTGGGCTTTTTTGGTCGAGGCCGCGGGTTCGATTCCAGATTGGACATTTTTTTGCATTTTTATTACTGTTGTTATCATAGGCCGGCCGTGGAGGCGCGTTGGACTATGCGGTCTCGGTGGCGGTGGAACTTGCTATTTCCCGAGGCGAATTCCCGACGTCCTCAGAGGCACACAGGGAGAGTCGAAGGATTATTGATGAGGCTAGGGTAAGAGGAAGGAGGTCGTGGGTTCGATCCCGGCACCTGACAATATAACAGGTACGAATGGCGTCGATGTACGAGTCGTTGGTCTCTGCGGAGCTGCTGGGGATGTCGGAGAGTCCAAGTCCAACACCGAGCGATTCGAACTCTTCCATTTCAGACAGGGTTGGTCGAGGCTTGACCGCGCGCCCGGAAATTCCACCAGCTCAGGTTGGGGAGTTTGATGATGCTGAGATTGAAAACGAGGCTCCGCCAGAGTCGTTCCTCCGCCTCGAGACGACCCCGTTATCGTCTAGGAGCCCTGATTCCCAGGGCCAGTGGGGAGAGATCCTCAGCCCCTCCAAAGTGATCACTCCACTGTATGCTGGTCATAGCAATACGGGGCCAACACCGGGGTGGCCGGGCATCTCACTCCTGGACGCATCGTCCTTGGGGGACTTTAGCTCACCCACAGTGGAGGAGATGAAGAGTGAGGAAGAGTTTCGCGCGCCATGGAATCAGTACTGGGATTTGCTCAGGCTCGTCTCGGAGAACATATACGGCATCGGATTTCAGAGAAGATTCTGGGTGGGTCGGCTGAGGTACTTTGGTCTCAATTCGTTGTGACAGGTCGTCTGAGGATGTCACCTTTCACTCCCCGATGGACTACTCCCGCTCGCCAGGGCTTCAACAACAAGGCGGCCCGGCGAGGTTGTCGCTACGAGAACAGCGGGAACGGTTGAAGGCATCGAAAAGCACTAGAGGGTTGGATGAGGTGGGTTGCTGTTTGTGCATGCGTGCAAGAATCTTGTGTTGTTGTCTCCCAGCTGCGAGCGTCGTTGGAAGGTCCCCTGGCTGAGGTGTTGAGGGGATCTTAGTAACTCTTGTCGAATTCGGTTGATGAGTATTCATTATTGGCACGCCTTGCATTAGCACGCATGCACACCTTTCTACCACTGATTGTTGAGTTCCATCAGAGATTCAACTTGGTCGTTTTCGGCGCCGACCGAACTTAAACTGTAGTAGATTCATGGTTGTAGTGTTTCTCGCTTCCATTGCGAGGTGGTTATTGTACGTTAGGAAATGAGGCTGCTGCTCTTCTCGAGGCCATGCCTGGCGGAGTGGAATGGTATCTCTGGAGGCTCACAATTGTCTTCGGCCGGTCCTCGAATGTACAAGAATAGGAGGACGAAAGGGCAGCAGTCTGTAAGAGGTTTGAAGCGGATCTAGCGGAGCGAAGCGGCGTGATTTTAGGCGGCAACGGTACTCTCACGTTTGATACCCCAGGCTGAGGGCAATATCGGACCCACTACGCCTGAGATGGAGATGCAGGCGGCAGCGGTCGAACGACGGTATGGATCGACCCGGGTTCGATCCCGGCACCCGGCGTTATGGTTGTATTCTTCAGGAGCCGCATCAAGCCGACGATACTGCCCGGGATGGACCGTCCTCGGCGACGAAAGGCGGGAGTGCGGACGTTTGTCGAAGATAAACTCCTCTGTAATGAAACTGTACGGAGGTTTTTGCCGAAAGGTAAGTAGAGTGGACTATCTACCATATGGAGGATAGAAAATAACTATCTATATTTATAGATATTTATATAGAACATAATGGTAGATTATTAAAATATCATTTATGATTTTCCATTACAATGAGCGGAGCGAAGCAAGC